CAAGTGGGATTTAATTGTGGTAAGTATATAACAGATATCGCTGGATATTTCAATTATGTTAATATTGTTATGTTTCGTCATTACAAAACTTTATTGTGCACTTATAGCGCTGTGGAAACCCAGACGGATCAGCAGCCAGATGAAACAATGCCGCCATGAGCCATTGCCAGCTATGCAGACAATGTCCAGCAAGTATATGTTCAGTATATGTTCAGCAATGGAAACAGTGATGGAATCGTGTAAAGATTCTTACTCCTAAGCAGTATGAATACTGAATACATCCTACAACTTAATACAATGAAGGTATGTATAACATTTTATGCTTTTCTGAGCCTTGGTGAGAAAAAGTATGACGTTTGGTTTTTATTGTGAAATTCATTTTCTTATCACATTTTCAAACAAATCTTTTGATCGATCATTCTGTAGGCATGTTAAGGGCACAGTAGCACCTGCTGATTTATATGTTTTAAGAGGACTTAAATGTTTTTTTGGAAGCCAAATTTTGATTTGCATGAACATTAATAAAATCAAAATTTGGCTTGATTAAGTGCTTTTAAAACACATTGCTCAGCAGGCACTAATGTGCATTTAAACAGGAATAAAACTAATTATAAGTCTTCTTTAGGTATGGGGATTGGTATTGCAAGTGATGACCGAAGACTGCTAACATAGCCCCTGTCCCTCCTCCTTCAGTCAAAGAACTTGTTGAAACCCATCAGTTTCTGTGGGTAGGTGGAGCTCATAATCCCTGAAAGGTAGTCCACCTAGGAGAAGGAAAATTCTGATTTCAAACTCCGGAACCAACTAGTGGGTCAGGCTGTCCATGTTGGATTCATTAATCTTCGGTGTTTCCCAGGCATGCTGGTGACATTCTATTAAAAATTTGATTGAAACGACGAGAATAAGGAAATTATTTTGGTCGGTGATTTTAACTGCAATCTTTTAGCAGTGAATCGACTCAATATCACAAACCGGCTTCTGGATATCGCTAATTTATTTCAACTTATGCAGATAATTACAGGGGCAACACGTATTACGGAGGAAACGCAGACACTGTTGGACTTGTTCTTTACTAATAAGCCAGAAAATATTATTAATTAGAATTCAAAAGGGATCTTTCTATCGCACTTTTAAATTGTGATTGGAGCACTGATGATCCAAATGCGCTTTGAAAACAATTTAAGGATAGGTTCAATGAGGTTTCCAACTTACATGCTCCTATTAGGCTAAAAAAAGTCAAAAGTAAATATACCCCCTGGATGAATGGAGAGATAATAAAATTAATGAACTATCCGAAGAAAGCAGTTAAAAATAAATCTTCTCGCTTCCATGAGGCCTATAAAACAGCTAGGAACGATGTCAAATAGATTGATTAGAAATACCAAAGCTAGTTATTTTCAAGAGGTAATTAGTAATTCAAAAAACAACTCTAAAGAAATGTGGAGAAATATAAACCAACTCATTGGTAAAACCTCTAAAACAACAAATGTAATTTCAGTCAAATCAAATGATCAAATATTTACGAATAAGGATGATATTGCTGAAACGTTTAACGATTACTTTTCAGAAAGTGGTACAGAATTATCCAACAGGATTCCAACAGGTAATGAAGGATTTGAAGAATATCTTGATCGGTCGGTTAGTGCTGTTTCTGAGTTCAAATAGGTTTCTTCTAATGATGAAGTTGAAACTGTTTTTCAAGATAAAATAACAGTGATATATGCGTTTCGTATTTGACATATATACATATACATACATACATACATATATATATATATATATATATATATATATATATATATATATATATATATATATATATATATATATATATATATATATTTCTCTGGCATTTTTCCGGATGATTGGAAACTGGCCAAAGTTTCACCTATTTATAAATCGGAGAATAAACAAGAGTGTGGCAATTATCGCCCAATATCTGCTTGCAAAACCATCGTTTTTATTTCGTTTAAAGTAACATAAGCAGTGTGCTATATTATTTGCAATGGTAAATCATCGCACTCGCTATTAATACTAAATCACATTCGGTGTAAAGTAATTATATTCCCTTAAAGTTTATATCCCCATTGCTTCTCGTTCAACACATTTGTAATAAATTTAATAATAACACATTTTGTTGGCTTTTGCTAATGTTTCTATACAATCGCCATCTCTACACTTATGTAGTATATTACATATACACGACAGTGAATATTACAATACGTTCGCACTTGGTGAATGCAACATACAAACTCCCTCCCACAATTATAAAAGTTTGCCGATTCAGTACATTTATCATGTTCACAAGTTATATTCCAAATTTTTATTATTTCTTGAACATCAAAGATTTGTCGATCCAGTCCAAACAAACATCCACTGCGATTTGCAGTTGAGCTTAGAGACAAGACGTTTTGCCGCGCAGTTTGATCGTTCAAACGTACAAGTTACCAAGGGCAAATTCGAATGTTGTCAAGCGGAATTGCGAATGTTGTAATGGGAGATTTAGGCACTTTCGGCCAATCATAGTGAAGAATACGTTGGGGCAACGCCTTCTTCACTATGATTGGCCGAAAGTGTCTAAATCTACTATGACAACATTCGCATTTCCGCTTGACAACATTTGAATTTACCCTTGGTAACTTGTACGTTTCAACGATCAAACTGCGCGGCAAAACTTCTTGTCTCTAAGCTCAACTGCAAATCGCAGTATCACACCTGGCGTCCTCAAAGTCTATCGTACACTTTCTCTTCTTGTATAATGAAGTGGTAGTTCTATAGTGTTCGGGCTAAATTCTTCACACTTTCTGGCATGGTATTCCATTGCTTTGCCCTTTTTGCTATAATATTTATTTTCAACTCATCAAAAAAATTATATCTATGTTATCGGTTGAGTGTGTTTGGATCAAATGTTTGGAAAATTTTATACAGGCGCTTGTATAAATATCCAATCTTAATCCCAATATGTTTCACACACGTGGAGGGACGCTAAAAGTTGCCATCTTGCCCGATCTTGCCCAAGCTTGCCCGCGTGACGTCAGGCATATTAATTACCCTCCGCAATTAATGTGGAGGTATATTACACCCGTTTTCAAAATTACGCGACCAAAGAAGAAAATGCTAGAGTTGACATGTCAGTTTTATGTCATTCGATCACGAAGTTCAAATTTTGAGTTTTGCGGTTCCTTGTCGATGTATATGCTTTGTATTCTTTATATAAACAGACTTACAATGATTTTCAAGATATTTTAGTGAGAATTATTGTAAAATTTAAGCACGACAAAATCATAACATCACTGTTATAGTCTAGCGCGCGTGTTTTACACTGACAGCTATATTCCAGGATAAATTGTTATTTTTCAAACTTTAAAAGTCATTCACGGCACATATTTATGTTGTGATGGTTTGTATTGTGCTTTAGTTTGTATATCTAAGTTATCTGACTCATTATTGTTCAGTTTTGGTATTAAATACGGTTTAAAATGTCTTTAGACAGTTTGTTTACGTTTGCTATTTTTAGCAGTTCTTGTGACATAAAACTGACATTTGAAGTAGGAGTATTTTTCAGGGAGGTCGCGTAATTTTGAAAACGGGTGTAATGTGGAGATATGTTAATTAATGTGGAGGTATATTAATTAATGTGGAAATATGTTAATTAATGTGGAGGTATGTTAATTAACCTCCACAATCCACCACAAAAATCCGGGTCGATCGGTCTGTATATTAGAGACCTTACGATTTTAGGACGGCAACGCGACGGCAACGGCTACCAATACAATACATCTTTGAAAATAATTGAGTAATATATGAATAATTTAGACATTGTCCTCGCTCTGTTTACAACGCCAAATCACAGATTTTCACGTCTTGATACAACGGCTGCATTCCAAGCCACAACAAGTGCAACCTCAAACTGAGTTTAGCAGAACTCTTCCCAAACATAAAACCCATGTCTTTAAATTAACTTCTAAAACTGTATTACGATTGATAATAAACGACGAACTGTCTTTACTACCATTTATTTGAAGGAGTTTGTTTTAATCGGCCGTCGCGTTGCCGTCCTAAAATCGTAAGGTCTCTAATACTACTTGCATTCAGTCTGCCGCCATGTGAACACCACTGTGTGAAGATATGAAAATTTATTAATAACCCACATCCTTTCCCCATGTCTGCATCTGTCATTATTTTATAGTCCATACTTTCATGCAGTTCACATCAGTCGCATGCACTCAGTCTACCGCCGAGTGAACACCACTGTGTGAAGATATCAAAATTTATTAATAACCCACCTCCACCCCATGTTTGCATCTGTAATTATTGCTAATGTTTATTGCCCATTTTGTAAGCAATGGCGTAATTTTGCCGTCACCTTTCTAGGCAGAACTGTTTTTGAACATTTTAATTCGATATATTATATGAATCCTTATCTTTGAAAGTTAAATATTAATAAAGCGGCGGGGGGGGGGGGGGATCGTGACCCCCAGCCAGATTAACCCAACAAGGTGTTGAATGTATTGATGTATGTCCATTATTAAAACTTTTCCCAGCAAACAGAGCGCAGTCTAAATGCCAGGTCTAAATGCCAGGAAAGTCTAGTCTTTAATTAACCTTTAATATTCGCTAGTTCAGAGGGAAGGCATAAAAGTATTTTATTCATGGTATAATTTAGACAATTCTATAACGCTAAAGAAGAACACAGATTAGTAATACATGCACTGACTGTATACATCATAAGCAAGGGAGAATATATGCCAGCAACAGGAGGATAAAATACATATTTATGATCAAACAATGACTACATTATAATAACAAAATTACTATGACCATTAATTAAAACGGAATGGCAAAAACAATTGGTTATAACTTCATTTATTTTCTATCCTAAAAAATTTAGGGTCAGTTTCGCTCCGCTGGAAATAGTGAACTTTACAAAAGACCTTTCAAATGCCGTCCATTTATCTAATTCCCGTCTTAATATCGCGGAACTCTCCGCCCGAGGTTAGTTAGTGATGAAAGCATATCGGGCCCTCTTCAATATAGTATTCCCCGGTTTCCTTGTTAATTGGAATAGCAGCCGTGATAGGAAGTCGCAGTCTTTGTTTCGTTGTGATTGTTAGTTTAGTTTGATGCCACTCGCCATCCATATTCTGGAAGAAATAAAATTATACATGTAGTAAAACAATGATGGAATATGAGAACTTATGTAAATGTATCGATGATTGTAATCCTCGCATTTCCTTCGTTACGAACGAACAATTGAAGATAACATTTTCTCTAGTTGTTGAAGGGAAATGTAGATGGAAATTTCGATTTTTTTATACATTTATTAGACCTGACCAGGAGTAGTTGGGGAAACTGCAACTATCGGCTCTATAGCAGGAATCGAACCAACTGAGCTACAGTTGTCGAGCTCTAACCACAAATTCATGTTGTAGTTAGAGCTCGACAACTGTCTCTCTGTAGTTCTGTTGGTTAGAGCGCTACACCCGGAATCGCAGGACCGCGGGTCTATTCCTGCCAGAGGGCCGCACTGCTCGCAAACGTTAACACAACTGCTCCTAAAATTTTCTCTGCTACTTTTTGCAAACCGACTCAATTCTCAAATGCGACCGAGGGGGCCTTACCGTATGACCAGGCACCCAGAAATTAAGCCTCGTTACAGAGGTAGATGGTATATTCCCTGATTGATATCTCGGACATTGCGTGGTTACAGTTGCTACGTACTATAAGCCGCTCTGTTTTCCCGTGAATTTTACCTATATCGGATTTTAGCTGCTCTTTTTCTGAAAGGCATTAATAATTTAAAACAAAAAGGAAATCACCACCGTGTGTAGTCTAGATACCACGGCAAAGTCGCGTTGAATTTCTCTTTGAAACAAGCCCGTTTGAGAAGTCATATAATAAACTCGAACGCTATTTTATACGCAAGTAATAATAAATGCTTTACAACACCTAATGGGAAATACCTACTTCGTCTGTATGCAATGTGACACTATTAGGCATCAAACAATAGAATGCGAATATTTATTGGAATTTATGCTCACCGCCCCTTTCTCAAGTACAAGGTAACTAAAAATTTCTGAATTCATTATATTCGTCTCTCAAAAGAAACCCGAACGGCGTAGAAAATGGGAGGTGTCGACTGAAAAAAATGACGAAAAGTCTACTAAATTGCTAGCGTGGTCATAGGCCGATTAACACATTTGAGAAAGTGGTACGAGACTAGTTATCTTAACAGCATACTTACATTGCATCCATTTTCTACTACTTTAGGTCTATAGAAAATTGGGCTTGCCATGTTAATCGTTTCTGCGTCATATCCAATTAATTCTACGGACTTCTTCGTTTGTTCATTCCATGCTTGTGAGTTCTTGCAATGATATGTGATGGTCTGTTCTACGTGTCTGCTTAACAATGTCAGCTTCATAAGTTGTATGTAGTTGAACACATGTGTGAACTAAAAGAGAATATAGTCAAACAATAAGTTATCTGGGTGCAGAAATCAGACCAGCTCGCTATAATACTTATCATTAAAACCAGCAGTTAAATTAACACCAAATGTTATATTAAATTAAAAGAAGTTAAAGCCCGGATAAAACGAAAATGAGAGTTGTCACGCGATCTTGGTTAGCTGTTCATAATGCTTCCCCATCACTATCATGTATTCTTCTATTTAAGTTAAAACACGTTTGGAACACTCGTCAAACATGTATTTTCTTAATGTAGAGCCTCAAATGCCCCAGTAACAATGCGCGACTGCTAGCTCTCATCAAATATCATCCTCGATTGACCGGTGCTTCAGTCCCAAATTTCCACATAATCGTTAAGTGGAGGATTGATGTTTAGAGTTACTGTCGATAATGATTAGAGTTATTATCAAGCATGGTAGGGCAGTCATAGGAGTGTTGACGTGATACGAAAAGGTTTTTTTACTATAAATATCACTATCTGGCGATATCACTATCGGACAAGATCCATATGCTGTGAGCGAGAAAGTCTTGTAATCAATCGTACTTAAAACAGAGCATTCAATATTTTAAGTAACCTAACCCAAGTTTAGTTTTTTTCATACCACACCTTAAAATTCCTGGAATTTCAAAGAGTTTCTACGCTTGCAATAAAAATGCAGGGTTTTGCAGGATTTTCAGGTGGGCGTACGAACCCTGATACAAGTTAAATTAACTTTACTGAGGATATCCTCGTATGAACGGACACATTCGGTGAAACCTTACCGGTCTGTTTTCAATTGGATAGACACATGTGTGTTTCTCCTTGAAATCACATTTGGCTAAGAAGGCGTTCTTACTGCTCAAAATGAAAGGTTCAATCCAGTAGTAACCTAGTTAAGAAGATAACATAAATGAGCAATTATTCAACAATGAATAAGAATGCAATAAAACGAGATCTTGCATTCAGCTGTTGGAAGGGCTCACTCATGTCATATATGACTTAAGTGAACTTACAAGCAGATAACGACATATTGCGTCAGGAATGGATTTACTTGAGGATGAAGCAGGACCTGCACCTCTCCTACTCTTAGCAAGGATGCTGAAAAGGAAGCAGTGTGGTACAATTGTGGGGAAGGGGGTGGGGATACCCAATTTCATTTTGAAATCTGAAGTACAATATTACAAAACAAAAATGTACCGAGACAAAATGAGATAGTAACATGATCATGAATACTCGATGGTTGCACTCTGAATCACGACCAAAGCACCTCTATAGCTATTAGATTTGGATCCATCCCTGTACCGCAAGCTACGAATCCAACCTTGCTCTCGGGTAGGTGAATGGTGTATCATGAATTTCCCCAAGAGTAAAAGGGCGGGTAACCAGGGTGGTTTGGTTGCCTTCTGTATAATTTAGTGCTAATAAAACTAAATATTGCTGCCTGTACATTCAATTAATAATCTGAAATATAAAGTTTGACACTACGCTTACACATTTCACCTACATTTAAATTAAACAATAAAGAGAATCGAAGACGCAAATACTGTTAAAAACATAACGATATCCGTTGCATCGACACTTACCGCTGTTTAATTCAGGGTGGTGGTAGAATAAGTCGCCACAATTTCTGGCAGGGAAGAGTTGTGTGCCAGGTGGTTTCAATTTCTTCGCGTATCGATCGTGTACGTAACCAACCAGGTCATTTGGAATTTCATCTTCCTTATTTTCATCCTAAGAAAATGAAATCATATATAACGATTACACCAATGTATTCGTTTAAAACTTGATATGAAGATAAAGGCTTGATCTAAGGTTGCCTTTAATACCAGTTCCAAAGCTACGTTGCCGTGATCGAATGAACTTCAAATATCACTGTACTATATGTACCTTTGGGTCGCTTCCTCTGTAATATCTTTGTCCCTGTCTTGCGTCACTGAAGATCTGATATAAAATAAGAAATGTTACATTATAAACTATTGCAAAAGATGTCAAACTAGACACTAATCCAACCTCATAACCAAATTAAACATGAAACACTCAGTTAATAGAAAACTAAACTAGAAATACATGCATGTAGCAGCAACCCCTCGCATATTCTCAATCGTTATTTCAACATAATCCATCTTGAGCCAACTTATATAATTACACTGGCCGCAGCCAATGTCATAGAATTGCCTTGGTATTTTCGTTTTTCGTTTTTTTTTTGGTTGTCGCAAATGTGGCTTTCCATTGCGGCATCGTGGGCAAAGGATTTCGCAATTTGGCTAAAACATGTTCAGGTGATTACGACATGGATTAGAACTGGGATTGGAGTTATTTTACTAACCGCGAAGGCCATTGTGAGCGCCTAAGCAGGCGTCTTATTTAGCTTAAAACAAAATCCATCTATTATACTTCATGTAAGGATGCATTGTGTTTGCTATGCCCTGGTCTAGCGGAACTGAAAAGAGGAGAGACTCCCTCACTGTATGGCTGCCATACCGATCATATAGTTTATAGGCATGATCAAATGTACAACTTACCACAAGGTTTTGTCCAGGAGGTCCCTAAAATCATAGAAAAGAAAATTAGTAACTGATGACTCCTTAATCTGTCATGACGTCATTTCGAAATGCACTTATCCCAAATCCTAAAGGCTATAATGTAATCTGTGTCTTTAGTATTTGCACTGCAGGCGAGAACAGAAAACTCCTAAATATTGTTGGGACAGAATTTGACCAGCAAATACAATAATATAATAATAATAAACCCTTTACAATTTGTTCGTTTAGTATAGGTAATAGCATGGTTTCGAGTGCAATTTGGATATAACATGCACGAGCTAGCTAGAGCTAGCTACCTGTAGCATGAGAATTTGATCTAATGCTATCTAACTGTATGCTTCGTTCTCGAAATAACTACTTGACTGCGTATCCGCGTATCCACTAGAATTAGAGCTACATTTAACACTATGACAATTTAATCTGTTAAATCCGCATACCTCGTTGCTACCTTTACCACCATTGGATGTTAATCTATCAATCTATTTATTAATCTATTTCAGTTGAATTGAAATATAGATGTATTAATACATCGTATCCATGATGTTTGAAAGGCATAGCTTAAAAGTGGACCGCGGGTATTCTGCAATCGCTCCGAAAAGATTTGCAAAAAACAGTAAGTTACAAAAGCAAACAAAAGCAAGTGGGAATGGCGAATTTAACTTAATAAAATATGTCAGATGTCATTACCACACAAGATAGCATCTCAACCAAGCAATACAATATTTTGAAATCACCAACTGCGTGCGCAAGACACACTGGGAAGCGCATATAATAAGAAGAGTATTCGCTGATGTTTTGTTTAAGGGCGCGGATCAATGATGCGTCTGACTATCAATGAGAAGTCCGACTGTCTACGGAAAAATAATTTGCCGCGGCCCCATGTTTGTTTTGTTTTGAAGCAATCTGTGACCGTTACTTCTTTAAACTAAACTGCTTTAAACTGATCATGATTGGTTGATTTTATCATCACAATGTTTTTCCACCAATCCGATTAGTTTGTTACAAATGTTTTCACCATTGTTACAGATTTTTGCACTGCTGTTTGTGATTAAGATAGATAGATAGATAGTTTATTGAAATTTACATTGCAGCCATAAGCTAAATTAAGTAAAATTTACAAGAATTGATAAAAGAGAGGATCTTAAAACATGTTGGAGAATTCCACTATGCATTATATATGTACAAGTTAGAAAATACAAGACCTAGATGCTAATTATGCCTAAATTAGGTTACGGTAAAAACTATTTCTGAAATGGTTCATTGTTTAAAACAGTTCTTGAACTGATCGTGTTTATACTTAGATTGCCTAATACTATTGTTAATTATGCCTTAATTGAATTACTGATGATAAAACTATTTCTATAACGGTTCGTTTTTACTCTTGGGTTATTGAATTTCGACTTTTTCCGTAAATTAAGCGAGGTATTGTTTTTAGCAGGCAGTAGTTCGTATAATTTGTGTGCATCATCGTTCATAATATTTAGGAAGACTTTGTTAGTAATCTGTTGGCGCCGTAGGAATAGGGAAGTTAGACCTGATAATAATAAGGCATCTTCGTAAGATTCTGTGGGGTACATGATTCGCATTGCTCGTCTTTGAATAGTTTCGAGATCACTCGAAAGATACGTTGCGAGACCATCGTGATACACTGGGCAAGCATATTCAATTAAAGATCTGATGCAAGATTTAAAAAATTGTACCAATTCCAAACAACCCACTTTGGCGCGCTTTAACTGAGTTAGGAAGTACAATCTTTTTGAAGATTTTTTAACGAGTTCGCTAACATGATAATTCCATTTTAAGTTGTCGGATACATTCAGGCCCAGAATTTTGGCATGTGGGACAATTTCAAGGGGGGCGTTATTTATCATAACGGGTGGAAAGACTTTTTCCGATTTCGTAAAACTAATTCTCATTTCTTTACATTTGCGCTCATTCAGCACGAACTTTTCGGTTTTGGACTTGCGTACGAACTCATCTACGGTTGATTGGATATGACTTACTTCGTCTTTTTTAACAGTTTCGGAGATGTTTGAGTCGTCCACATATTTCCACATCACATCATTAGAGACATTTAAATCGTTAATCATGACTAAAAACAGCCATGGGCCCAATTTTGTTCCTTGCGGTACACCCGCGGGGACCGAGCCCCACTCCGAAACACAATCTTGGCAGAGTTTAACTCTTTGTTTGCGGTTCAACAAGAAATCTATTATCCAATTGACAACATTATTTGGAATTTCGTACGACACTAGTTTCTGAATTAAAATATCATGATCGATCAGATCGAAGGCCTTCTTGAAGTCCTTCCTTTTACCATCGGTGTCACAGTTCCATTTATGTAGCATGCTAATAAGAGCATAGGTGGTATTCAAGCCAGGTAATGTACCGAACTGTTGTGGGTCAACTTTTTTCAATACAGCTGGTTTTACAAAACATTCAACTACGTATTCCTCAGCGACCTTAGAGAGTACTGGAGTCAGAGAGATTGGTCTTAGATCTTTATTTACGTCATTGACAGGTTTTTGCTTAGGTATTGGTACTATATCGGCTTCCTTCCATGAAGGAGGTAAGCGAGACTCCAAGAATGAACAGTTAATAATCGACATTACTGGTCGTGCAAAAATATCGGCGTTAAGTTCTCTTTCAAAAGCCAGCAGGGAATACCATCTGGCCCAGTTGCTTTGGTTGGATTTAGTGCTAACAGTTTCTGAAAAACTGATTGTTCTGTGACGGTAAATGGGGGTTCTTTATCGGTGGCAAGACGGACGTTGGGAGATAATGGAGAAAAATCACTCATTGAGGCAAGGAATGCGTTGTTAATAACATTGGCAATATTAAGTGGAGTCGGTTGGACTGGGTCACAAACAACATGTTGTAGAATTGAAGTTGTACTGTCACTTGACACTGCAGACATCCCACTAAGTTTCTTAATTTCCTTCCACTAACCGGAAGGATCACATTCTTTCAATTGTTTAACTCTTGAATCGTAATATTTTGCACGGCTTGACTTCCTCTCCCGATTAACTTGATTCCTAAGTAATCGGAAGGTAACCATGTCACCCAAGGACAAGGCTTCCTGGCGCGCACGTATCAACTTTTTAAGGTTTTCATTGAGCCATGGGGGCTCGTTAGCTATGATCGTTTTCCTCTTCATTGGAAGAAGGGAATTCATACCTGTGCTAACGATTTTTTCCAACATCGTAGTTTTTTCCTCACAAGAGATCTTATTATCTATCAAGGTTTGAATGTCAACAGCTTCCAAATATGTTCTTATTGCTAAACGTTTCGTTGGTCTAATGTCCCTTGTTTTGATGCTTGTTTTGGAGCTTGGACTTGGATGTTGTTGTTCGGGAGAGCGGTAAAACTTTAACCGTTACGTGATCAGAAAGACCGAGGGGAGAGAGTTTAATGGGGGAAGCATAATAGTCTTTCAAATTAGTTAGGATGAGGTCCAAGGTGTTCCGGCCACGTGTGGGAAAGTTCACAATTTGGTTAAGCCTAAAGTTACGTTTGATTCTAGAGACGTTTAAGTTGTTAAAGTCTCCAAGCAGGATGACACCACTATTGGGAAAACGAGATTCGATTGTTGATAGACATTTTAATAAATGATCTAATATCTCTTGATTGTTAGCACTTGGAGGATGGTATAACGTTCCAATAATTACGCATGGAATTCCCCTTGGAAGACGAGTGGGGCGAATATGAACCCAGACGATTTCAAAATTGCTGTCTAAAAGGTCTTGTACAATGTTGTATTGAATATTATTCCTGACGTACATACAGACTCCCCCGTGTTGACTGTTAATTCTGTCAAGGCGAACCAACCTAAATCCTGACACATTAACAACGTTATCATCGATATGATCTCTGAGCCACGTTTCGGTAATACAAGCTATTTCTACATCACTATTGAGGATAACTTCGCGTAATTCATCTATTTTGGGCACCAATGACATAACATTAGATAGCATTAGGGAGGGAAGGAACGAACGTATGTTTGGAACCCGGCAAG